GGCACATACTTAAACATGATGAGATACTCAATTCCATTATACCTACTCATCCAAACATTGTTTTTAGAGGAGCACCTAATTTTAAATCTATTTTAACTACAAATTTTACAAAAAAATCTCCTTCAAAAAATGTATCATTCTTTCCTCAGACGAAAGGTTTTTTTAGATGTAAACAATGCATTGTATGTAAACTGTGGACCATGTCATTTTACCAAAAATTACAAAATTTATGTCAAATCAAACCAAAAAAGTGTATGATATTTATGACTTTATAAGCTGCCATACGAAAAATGTTATTTATCTGCTCGAGTGCCCATGTGGCCTCCAATACGTGGGGATGACCACAAGGTGCTTAAAGATAAGACTGAGCGAACATTGCAGAAATATTAGAAATGGATACCTAAACCATACAGTATCCAAACATTTTATTATGCACAACAAAGATCCCCGTCTATTAAAATGCATTGGTATAAAAAAATGTTCTACCTCCTGGCGAGGTGGTGATATAAAAAAGTTACTTGGAAAAACAGAGATGGAATGGGTGTATAAACTTCAGACTCTTATACCCCATGGCCTAAATGCAGATTTTGACCTATATAATTTTTTATGAACTTTTTATGAATTTTAGGTTATTTAATGTCTGTATCCTTAAAACAATGATTTTATTATTATTCTTTTTTATTAATTTTATTTCTTATTTTTACCATTACATTTTATTCAATCTGCCCCTCTAATTTGCATTTCAATATAAGGAAGTTTTGGTTTTAATTCAAATTATTACCCAGCTCCTTTTAAACTTGTGTAAAAAATCATATTCACTATGATTTCCCTTTATTTATTAATATTTTTAAGCGTGTTTTATTTATTCATGCATATGTTATTACCCTAACTACATTTCCCATTAGGCATTTCAGCCATTTTAGCCGAATACCACATGATCATTTTTTTATGTTTATATTTGAAGGTTGGCCCTCTCGTTTTATAATACAAAACCTTGTGGTCATATTGTGTTAAAATATAGTAGTCAAATAGGTATGCAGAATTCAGTTTTAATCGGCCGTCATTTGCGGCCAATAAACAAACTACATCTCCCATGGACCAGTGCGGCGGCACTTCCGAAACGCGGAAGTGCCGCCGGTCATGTGACCGGTTTAATCCTTTGAAATTCGATGGCTAGCCTCCTCGTTTTGGGGGATGGTACCCTGAGATTATATTAAACAAAACTAGTATATAAAAATAAGTTGTAATCGGCCGTTATTTGCGGCGTATACTTAAACTACATTTCCCATGGACCATTGCGGCGGCACTTCCGAAATGCGGAAGTGCCGCCGGTCATGTGACCATTTTAAATCTTTTAAAATTACACATTCCTACCCTTGTTTTAGATTCAAATATACTAGAACCAAGTTGTATTATTATAAATTATGTGCTGATTATGTTATTTTTGTATCTTAAAGCTGTATATATGTTTTTAATTCTGATTGGCTGAACACATTTTTGGCGCCAAAATTCAAGTAATTATGCTTCTATATAACATCTATGTGCCAGGTAAACTATGTTATTCCATTTGAAAAAGTCCTTTTGTGACGTGTTATGGATATATGAATACTGTGTTTTTTATATATATTAAAGTATTATTGGTCATTCATTAGTGCCAATTATCTTTTTTATAGACACATACTTTTCTCTTTTACCCTGGCCTTTTTATTGTTATTGTAATTATTTTTTAACTGGTTTTAAAAAGAAACCTAAAAATTCCTGGAAGTTTCCTGTACCCAAAGAAATCCGCAAGGTGGGGATCAATCCACCCAAGCTATCATCAAAGAGCAGTGCGTCTGCTCTTACTTTGTAAGTACATTTCTTTTATTTTTTATTACTATCTGCCATACAGTGAGCACTATTGGCTGTTTTTGTTTTATCCCGAGAATTGGACACCATTCACGGAGAGGAACCTGCCTTATATCCCATAAGCGGGGATTAAACCGCTGTACGCGCTTCACTCCAGAGCTGGACATTAGCTCTGGTAAATGTGAGTTTTATACCAACCTTTTTTTTATCTCTAGACTCGAATTTTACATACTACACCATTGGTTGTCCCTCTTTTTCTCTTTTTATCTTTTATTAAGTGAAACCACTACAATAAATAGAAGAGCTCATCAACCAAGGACACCAGTAAGAACAAACTAATTGGACTTTCCTTATTTTACTTATATTGGACTTTATTTTATGTGCGCAGCCTTTTATTGCTTTTACTGTACTTTGTTTTAAAGGGTTTGAGGGACTCCCTTTTCAAGGTTGCTGCCTACAGTTATTTAGCGCTGTCTCATTCCTTTCCTTTTTTAACATGTACAGACCTATCTGAAGTTTGCAAATGAACATCTGAATGTTCAGAGGAGAACTGGGTGAAAGTGTTGTGGTCAGATGAGACCAAAATCTAGCTCTTTGGCATCAACTCAACTCGCCGTGTATGGAGGAGAAGAAATGCTGCCTATGACCACAAGAACCCCATCCCCACTGTCAAACATGGATGTGGAAACATTATGCTTTGGGGGTATTTTTCTGCTAAGGGGACAGGACAACTGCACTGCATCAAAGGGACGATGGATGGGGCGAAGTACAGTCAAATCTTGGGTGAGAACCTCTTTCCCTCAGCCAGGGCACTGAAGATGGGTCATGGATAGGTATTCCTGCATGACAATGACCCAAAACACACAGCCAAGGCATCAAAGGAGTGGCTCAAGAAGAAGCACAGGAGTGGCCTAAACCTCCAGAACTTAATCCCATAGAAAATCTGTGGAGGGAGCTGAAGGTTCGAATTGCTAAATGTCAGCCTCGAAACCTTAATGACTTGAAGAGGATCTGCAAAGAGGAGTGGGACAAAATCCCTCCTGAGATGTGAGCAAACCTGGTGGCCAACTACTAGAAACATCTGACCTCTGTGATTGACAACAAGGGTTTTGCCACCAAGTACTAAGTTGAAGGGGTCAAATACTTATTTCACTCATTGAAATTCAAATCAATCTATAACTTTTTTTGACATGCGTTTTTCAGGATTGTTTTTTTAATCTGTTTCTCACTGTTAAAATACACCTAGCATTACAATTATAAACTGACCATTTCTTTGTCAGTTTGCAAACATTCAAAATCAGCAAGGGGTCAAATACTTTTTACCTCACTGTATATAATCATCTAATTTTGGCAATCTCAGAATTGGCATTTTGCAAAAATGGCTGATATTGCATAGCCACCAGGCCTGGCAATATTGTAACCATTTTTACAATGCAGCACCCTAATAAGTGTGGAGACATAGAAGCAGCATTAAATCAAAAGAAATGAAGGGGAGCGGTCAAGGATAGGGGTTTAGTGTAACACCCTCATCCTGTACCTAAACCACAAAATAGGTCACCTAGACTCGAAAATTATGGGATAGCCCTAGGGCAGGGGTAGGCAACCTATGGCACTAGTGCCATGCACGGCACTCGAGGTGCCTTTGCACGGCACTCAAGGCTGCTAGAGCCAAACAGGCTCTGGCCTATCAGGAGTCCCAGTAAAACTTCAGATATCTGCTAATACGAAGAGGTGGTGAAGGACAATCCTCAATTTATGCATTGCAGCACGTAGAGGAAGTGATCTCAGAGCACTTCATTCCAGCACTTGTGAATGGGAATCCACACAGTAGTAGAGCAGCTCGCAGTTGTTGTTGCAGCTCCGGTCTTTGACCTGTACCTGACCAACATGGTCCCCACTGGAACCGAGGGAAGCCACCCACACTGCTAGATATACACAGAAATGCAGAAAGACCCTCCCCTCATACAAATAATACTGACAGCCCACACACAAACATACACGCAATCCGCACAAACGCAACACCACTAACAATCCACATACATGCACACTACACCACATGCAGCCTCTCATATGCAATACACCAAACAGCCCCCACACATACACACATTACTAAACACACAATGTGACATATCCATTCACACACACAATTCCACAAGCTGCCCCCATTCACAGCCCACATTTATATGTACCATACACGATACCACAATCTACTCATGAACATATACAATATAATAGCTCATATACGCACAAATACAACGATACAAAGCAATTACAGTATAAATAACACAAGCAGAATACAGCAGCATACACACCTCAATTTAAAAAAAAAAATAGGATCAGCACGCTACAGGACATCACAATCCTATAGCAGCACAGTGCTGCTAAAAGGTTGCCTACCCCTGCCCTAGGGAATACAGTACATAGAAGAGAACCAAAGGTGTCACTTGAATAGAAAGAGACCACAAGGTTAAATTTACAATCCACTCCAATAAGATCTTAAAGGAGAAAATAATAAATAACAATAACAGGTATGGATTGGCAGTAGGAGAACTTACGGAAGAGATAGCAATCTCCCCCTTTATGTGTTTAAGCCCTCATGGAAGTTTATACAGCACTGGTTACGACAGAGCCTAGTGTGATCATCCAGAAGCAAAAACTAAAACATAAAAGGAATAGTGAGAGATATGCTAAATGGTGAGAACAAAGCACACAGGAAAAATATATAAAAAGAAGGGTATAAACAGAGAGATAAGTTATAGGGATATAACCAATTAAATCCACCTCTCTAGGGTTACCAGAGGTCTGTGGTAAGGGTATACCTAATCTCTACACCTTCAGTCTCATGTAAACACCTTCATAGATATTCTATGCTTAAATTATATAACACTGGCTACAACAGAGCCTAGTGTAATCATCCAGAGGCAAAAGTCAAAACACAAAGGAATATTGAGAGATATGCTAAACAGTGAGAAATAAGCACAGGAAAATATATATAAAGTGAAGGGTATATATACAAGGAGATAGGTGATAGGGATATATACAAATGACTCCACCTCACTGTAAATACTAGAGGTAACTGGTAAAGGTGTCCCTAGTCTCTAGACTCTAAATCTCCTGTAAACACCTTCATGTGTGTTCTATGCTTATACTCCATCTAGGGCAATTCCCTCATGTTCTCAATCGCTGTCTAAGAACTAAAAGACAAAAAAAAAAAAAAAAAATCTTAAAATAAATAAAGTGAAAAAAGTGCGTGCATAGTGATAAGGTGCTCCATAACAGAGAGACCCGTGAAAAAAACCTGCGGCCGGGAGGGAAGGGGGGCGAGCCCCTAGCCCTGACCCAGATGGGTTTTGGTCTGATAAATGCATGCATCCCTGGGGGTCAGCGCTCGTCGGCATGTATTAGCTCTAGAATTACCACAGTTATCCAAGTAACAGATGGAGCGATCAAAGGAACCATAACTGATTTAATGATCCATTTGCAGTTTCACTGTAGTGGCCGTGGGTACTTACACATGCATGGTTTAATCTTTGAGACAAGCATATGCTACTGGCAGGATCAACCAACATTAAATCAATCTTCTCTTTATTCCATTATATAGGTAGAGACATGAAGTCATATCTGCAAAGGAATGGTAAAACTAAACTTACCGTGCATCAGAAATGTGGGAAGGAGAAAGACATTCAAGAAAATTGCCAATCTTCCCAGCAAATCCACCCCAAGGTTAGACCGTGAAATGCTCAGAGAAATTGCAAAAATTCAAGTTACATCTTACTGTACTTACTGACTGTACAGGCCTTAGCATGTTAAATGTTACAATTCATAATTAGAGTTGAGCGAACCCGAACTGAAAAGTTGGGTTCGTACCGAACATTACGTTTTTTGGACCCCGGACCAAACACGGATATATCACTGTATGTTGGGGTTGGAGTTTGGTGTTTGGCGATTTAATGGTGCGTTTTCAAAGTCTGCAGGGCAGCCAATCAACAAGCGTTTGACTCGTGTGCCCTTAAAAGCCATCACAGCCATGCCTACCAATGCTACATGGCTGTGATTGGCCAGTGCAGCATGTGACCGAGCCTCTATATATAAGCTGGAGTCGCGTAGCACCACATGCACATGAGCTCTTATTAGTGTAGGGAGAGGATGCTGCCATTGATAGGCACAGCTTAGGAAAGAATTCTGCAAACTAGTACATTAGTGGGGTACACTTCATATCTGAGAGTCAAATAAAAGCTTCAAATACCGCGGTTACATCGGAGTTTTAAAAAGTACATTTTTTTGGTGCTAAATAGTACATTAGTGGGATAGTACATTAGTGGGGTGCACTTCATATCTGAGAGTCAAATAGAATCATCAAATACTGCTGTCATATTGCATTTTTAAAACTTAAAATTTTTTGAGTGCTAAAAAAGTACATTAGTGGGGTGCACTTCATATCTGAGAGTCAAATAGAAGCGTCAAATACTGCTGTCACATTGCAGTTTTAAAATTGAAACATTTTTGGGTGCTAAACTGCTAAATAGTATTTTAGTGGAGCGATCACTTCATATATGAGAGTCAAATAGACGCGTCTAATAGTGTGCTTACAGCGCAGTGGTAAAAATTCTTATTTTCTGGGTGCTAATCTGCTAAATAATACATTTTGGGGCATGCACTTCATATCTGAGAGTCAAATCGAAGCATCTAATAGTGTGCTTACAGCGCAGTTGTAAAAGTTCTAATTGTTTTGCTGCTAATCTGCTAAATAGTACATTTGCGGCCTGCGGTGCACTTCATATGTGAGAGTCAAACAGAAGCGTCAAATAGCGCGCTTACTGCACACTTCTAAACATTCAAATTGTTTTGCTGCTAATCTGCTAAATAGTACATTTTGGGGCCTGCTCTTTATATCTGAGAGTCAAAGCGAAGCGTCTAATAGTGTACTTACAGCGCAGTTGTAAACATTCTAATTGTTTTGCTGCTAATCTGCTAAATAGTACATTTGCGGCCTGCAGTGCACTTCATATGTGTGAGTCAAATAGAAGCGTCAAATAGTGCGCTAACTGCGCAGTTGTAAACATTCTAATAGTTTTGCTGCTAATCTGCTGCTTACATTTGAGTTTTAAAAAGTAATTTTTTGTTTTGGTGCTAAATAGTATATTTGGGGTGTGCATTTCATATCTGAGAGTCAAATAGAAGCGTCTAATAGTGTGCTTACAGCGCAGTGGTAAACATTCTTATTTTCTGGGTGCTAATCTGCTAAATAGTACATTTGCGGCCTGCAGTGCACTTCATATGTGTGAGTCAAATAGAAGCGTCAAATAGTGCGCTAACTGCGCAGTTGTAAACATTCTAATAGTTTTGCTGCTAATCTGCTGCTTACATTTGAGTTTTAAAAAGTCATTTTTTTTTAAAAATTTTTTTGGTGCTAAATAGTATATTTGGGGTGTGCACTTCATATCTGAGAGTCAAATAGAAGCGTCTAATAGTGTGCTTACAGCGCAGTGGTAAACATTCTTATTTTCTGGGTGCTAATCTGCTACATAGTACATTTGCGGACTGCACTTCATATCTGAGAGTCAAATCAAAGCTTCTAATAGTGTGCTTACAGCGCAGTTGTAAACATTTTTTTCAATTTTCTGGGTGATAATCTGCTAAATAGTACATTTGCGGACTTCACTTCATATCTGAGAGTCAAATCGAAGTGTCTAATAGTGTGCTTACAGCGCAGTGGTAAAAATTCAAATTTTCTGGGTGCTAATCTGCTAAATAGTACATTTTGGGGCCTGCTCTTCATATCTGAGAGTCAAACCGAACCGTCTAATAGTGTGCGTATAGCGCAGTTGTAAAAATTCAAAATAGTTTTGCTGCTAATCTGCTAAATAGTACATTTGTGGCCTGCGGTGCACTTCATATGTGAGAGTTAAATAAAAGCATCAAATAGTGCGCTTATTGCGCACTTGTAAACATTCGAATAGTTTTGCTTCTAATATGCTAAATAGTACATTTTGGGGCCTTTTCTTTATATCTGAGAGTCAAATTGAAGTGTTTAATACTGTGCTTACAGCGCAGTAGTAAACATTCTTATTTTCTGGGTACTTATCTGCTAAATAGTACGTTTGTGGACTACACTTCATTTCTGAGAGTCAAATTGAAGCATCTAATAGTGTGCTTACAACCCAGTTGTAAAAATTCTAATTGTTTTGCTGCTAATCTGCTAAATAGTGCATTTTGGGGCCTGCTCTTCATATCTGAGAGTTAAATCGAAGCATCTAATAGTGTGCTTACAGCGCAGTTGTAAAAATTCTAATTGTTTTGCTGCTAATCTGCTAAATAGTGCATTTTGGGGCCTGCTCTTCATATCTACAAGTCATGCTACAACAAAATTAAACAAGTTTTAAAATATGTATGGGCCAACCAGTGGATGTAAAAAGTTTTTTACTGGTTACATTCATGACTACACACTAAAGTGAACAGGAATATTTTGTAGGCTACCACAACAAAAAATAAATAAAAAAAAACATAAAATACAGTGTTGGCTACCTCATCCTCCTCCTCAACCGCTGCTTCCACCTACACCGCCACGGTCACCACCTCCTCAACCTATGGGTCACTTAGTATAAACTAGGTACACATTAGCAGAGGCTTGTGAAGGCCTTTTCTCCATGCATCATGAGTTGAGCTCAGTTTGAACAATGAAAGAGAATACCCTGCACTCCAGCCCTCTCTCAAATGGATAATTCTGGTGATCCTCCTGACAGCCATGCTTTAGATTTTGATTTATGTTCTTCCAAAGCTAAAATCAAAGATTCCATCTAGTGCTATTTTATGGCTCAGCTGTATTTTTTATTTTTATGTTATTTTAAGTGATTTCCCTATCCACATTTGCTTGCAGGGCACTTGTCCTACTTTTACCCCCATTTTACTTGCTTTTGCAGCTCTTTAGCTCTTTCAAGGAGTTTTTTAGAGGGATTTTTGTGTCCAAAAGTTCGGGTTCCCATTGACTTCAATGGGGTTCGGGGTCAAGTTTGAGCCCGAACCTGGACTTTTTTTCAAAGTTCAGCTGAACTCGCCGGACCCGAACATCAAGGTGTCCGCTCAACTCTAGTGTATAAGTTTGTGTCCCTGTCCCCAACAAGGTCCATGTGGGCATACACCTTGCTTGGGGACTTGCATGAAGTCTTGGCTCATGTTTGGGGGATTGGAGAACTACATTCACTCTGGAGATTGCTATATCACAATACTCCCCTGAGTATAATCACTAGCTCTTATAAGAGCTGTTCCTGCAATGCACTCTGGACTAGGAGAGGTCTACCCACTGGAAGCTGGATCCTGGTCTTGGGTCCAGGGTGGGTGGAGGACGGCGAGACCTCAACCAAAATGCGGCGGTTCGTGTGGTCTACAGTGGTTATGGTTACAAAAGACTCTAAATGACTCTGTTATTGTTAATACCGATTGCTACTGTTACAATTCTATACGTTTAAACCGAGGAAAACACGAATGGATTACACAAACTCTTATAAAGACCCCATTCGTGATACGAACGAGAGATCCCCCAAATGCTGGGGTGTGCCGCCAATTAACCTCGTCACCCCGCAAAGTACCGAATGGTCGACCACCCGACCAGTGGAGTGTGGCGGCCATTAACCACCCAGGCGGCTGCGGTCTCCGGGGCCTGGGGGATCGACGTTCGCACACAAAGCACCGAAGGGAACCTACCGAACAACCACACGAATGGGGACCCCCTACAGTGGGTCGTGTGGTAGCAATTAGCCTGTGGTTTCTGCGGTTAACCGCAACTCAAGTACCATGCTACCAGGTGGTCCTCGTTCATGTACCGAACGAGTTCCACTACCAGACAGACAGCGGGGATTCGCATGAACTTATACCCGAGTTTAGTTCCATAAGTTGGAGGCGAGGTCCCGCTGCCCGCTAAACTGTCTGAAAACATGGCCGTCATCAGAGACTCACGATCCAAAATACTGAATGGACTATATACGGCAGAAATAGCCCATTCTGTTCGTGGGATTGGAGCGCCATTCGTATGTTTAATGTACCCGAACGCGAGCTATTAAATGAATGGTAGAATGAGCTGTTTTCCCTCTATTAATGTTAAAGTTATGGATTTTTATACAGTTTTCTGGGACATAATAAAAAGTGGTCTTTTGTGCGCTTGGAGATAATTAGATTGTATAAACATTGGCCTCATTATCTCCAAGCTGGGCGGTTTCTAATTCAAATGATACACTGTACTGTGATTGGTTACCTGTCTGTACTGTACCTGTATTCCATCAGGTCCACAGGGGGCTGTCCTTGGACCTGAGGAATCGCATAAATTGCCATGTTGTGTGCCAGTAAAGCCAGTTCGTTTTGTCCCTCAACTTGCAGCCTCGACTCATGTTGTAGGGATCCAGGATATTGATGCTTGTACCGTGTTTGGGATATTCTACACTTGCAGCTTACTACCGAAAGACCTCCGTTCGACTCTCTACAGCGGGAACCAGGACCTCCAAGCAATCAACCCCCCTGCTAGACCGGGGGCAATCGTAACAATCGTGCTTATGGTGCTCGCAAG